CTGTCTCTAGATGTCAGTCACATATATGCGTGTTCTGTGTGTGTGTGTGTGTGTGTGTAATCTGTCTCTAGATGTCAGTCACATATATGCGTGTTCTGTGTGTGTGTGTGTGTGTGTGTAATCTGTCTCTAGATGTCAGTCACATATATGCGTGTTCTGTGTGTGTGTGCGCCAGGAAATCTACAAAGATCGTAAGAAGTTCTCCAAGGCCGTGTTTGAGGTGGCCTCGTCCGACCTGGTCAATATGGGCATCTACGTGGTCAGCTACACCCTCAAGGACATCAGAGACGAAGAGGTAGGACACTTTCTATCCTGGTTCGGTTGTACCGAGTTTATCATACCTACTGCTCGGTGGAAGACGAGGTCATGAACGCAACTTTTCAAAATGGCGAATAGCGGAGTCTTGCACCAAGCAAGCGATATACAAAATGATTGGTTGGTTAAGTTAGGGGGGAGCAATTTTATGTGAAGGAAGATGTAGTAGTTTAAGAAATTGAAAAGAGAAAAGGTTTGAGTAGAACTATGTCAGTGCAGTTAGTTTGAGGAGTTTATTTTTAAAAACCTATTGATCTGATAGCTGAGGTAGGAATAGAGAAAATGTATGGGTTGTTTACACGTGTTTGTTATTTTGTAATGAAGCAGTTAGCTCAAGGTATTTTGTAAGAAATATAAGCCGTAATAATATGTAGAAATATCAATTGACAGAATATGACATATGCAAACGCACACACTCACACGCGTACATGCAGACCACACATACTCATATTATTTTCTTAAAGAATCAGCTAGACATGGAAAGCAATAGTACATATATGAGTATAATGGTATTTCATTATGAATGTGAACATTGATGCAATATATAATTGTTTGTTATATTGGAGTAATCAGGTTTGAAAGTCATGCAGTGAAGTAATGACCACTTGGTTGTGACAGGTTTTGTGTTGTAGAGGAGGGAAGTTTCTGGATTCTGAAGGGCTGCTGCAGTGCTGCTTTCTGTCATGTCATGCGATAATTATGTATAGACCGAGATGCACACTGTCGGGCAATTGGAACTAATGGTAAAAAGTGTGTCCTCTTGGAACTCCCTCATTGGTCAGGAAGTTTCATGAATGTTCATTCATCAATCGACGCTTTTATAACACCTGTGATTTATCATCTGTATTCAGGGGGGAGGGGGTTTGTATTTGCGGACAAATTTGAAATGGTTTCAGTTCCTCCGTATTTGGGGTTGGGCCTATTCTGTTTGTCCGGCATTGTGCATAATATAACGTCATATAGATGTGTCACGGCGGGGTGGAATCGAGTGCTCTTCCGCTTTTGGCGATGGGGTTATTGATGTGTGAAAGCTTACTCATGTGTCTTGCTTCTGATGAAGAAACTACCCATGTCTCTTGAGTAAAAGTCAAGGTATTTGCGAGAGAAGGAGGTTGGGGTCACAAGGTGTCAAAAGGTTAAATTGGCGAGAAAATGGCTGCCAGTTTAGTGACCTCTAAAGCTTGAGTGAGTGTCTGTGGAAACTGCAAATTGACTTTATGGGTCTTTGCTCAACATTTTTCCTTAAAATCTATCCAAGAATGTTCTATAAAATGGACATAAAAGATGTGTAGCCCAAAACAAAAAAATTCAACAAAAATTGACCAACAGCCTGGAAAATGACGTTTTTTTGTGTGTTTAATCAATTTGAGGAGCACCTGATTTCACCACGATGCCACACATATGATGACGATATATCTTTGAAGTTTGAAATGCCATAAACATTATGATAATGTTATAATATGTTATGACACGTTGCCTCTATCTGTATTTGGATTGACCCTGGGATTATGATCATGGCTTGTACGTTCTCATAACTGCCCCCGTTGTGCGACCCGTCAAGGAGGTATTGCATCCACGTCGGTGTGTGTTCTGTCTGCTCCCAGATTTCTCTATTGTTCTAGCTAGGGAGACGTGACTGTGTCCAGGTGCACTTGTTCTATATTTAGAATGGTTTGCTGTGAGAAGCATTTCGTTTACCCGTATGTCATTGTTTGTGAATGGTCCATTCTTAACAACCCAGATCCAAGATGCATTATTTTTATTATTATCATCATTATTATTATTATTATTATTATTA